CATCATTCCCTTCTCTTCTTCCTCTTCCACCCTTCTTTCCATTTCTATCTCCTTTCTTCTTCCCATAACCATTCCTCCCATTGCCCTTCCCTTTTTGTTTCTCTTACCCGCTTCCTGCATTTCCCACTTGAAATCTCTCGGGAGCCTTTTCCTTACTCTCTCCCAACCCTTCTCTTGTATCCACGTTTCACTTAGAAACATTATATCCCATTCCCCCAATTTCTTCCAAAATTCCTCATCCTTGTTTTCTAATCCGGCCACATTCCAGAATCCGATCTTGTATTCTCCCTTTTTCCCCCTTGTACTCTTCTTTACCTTTTGCTTCCTATTCCTCCTGTCTCCCCGATCACCCCCTATCTGACCTCCACCTATTTCTTCTACTGAAAATCCTCTTGTCTTCTCTCAGCCCTGCTCCTCTCCGTTTCCTCCTCCCCTCTCCCTTTCCATCCCACCCTTTGCCCCCTCCTCAACTCGTCTTTTATTTCGTCCCAGACCCATAAGTTACCTTCTACCCATATCTTCATGTACCCTACCCTCACTCTCAAACCCTCTCTCTTCCTTATATCCGCCTCCCTTCTGATTAGCCATTCAATTCTCCTCTCCTTTTCCGTGAGGTCATCTTGTATCCATTCATTTCTTTCCCTCAGCTTTCCCTTTCCCTTCATCACTTCTTTCTTCTCCTCGACACTTGCCAACTTTACCCACAACATTTCTCTCCCTGCTTCATTTCTTTTCCCTATTCTTCTAACCTCCTCTATTCTTGCTACCGCCCCTGTTTTCCTCACTATCTCCTCCGCCTCCTCTCTTAGTCCCTCTCTACCTTCTTTCTTTATCTTCACTCCTCTAATTACTATATTTCTTTTCCTCTCTTCCCTTCTTCTCTTTTCACCCTCTAATTCTAATTTCTTCATCCTTTCTGGTAACCCCTCCCATTTTCCTCCTACTTCTGTCTCTCCCGCTCCATTCCGCTCTCCCTTCTCTCCCTCTTTTTCCTTTCTTTGTAGTTCCTCTATTTTTTCCTCCGCGGCTCTCAGTCTTTTTTCTAACCCTCTTTTCTCTTTTTCCCACCCTCTTTTCATTTCCTCCATCCACCTTCTCATCTCTTCTTTGTCCTCTTTTAGTTCCTTTATTTCCCTTACCACTCCCTCAAAGCCTGCTCTAATCTCCCTTAGCATTTCTTCCCATCCTCCTTGACCTCCTAACTCTATTTCATTTTTCTTTGTCGGAGATCTCACCAGCCTGGTGCTCTTTTTGAAAATTTCCCTCTCCTCGGTTGCATCCCCCTCCTGTCTTTCCTTCCTCTTTTCCGCCTTTTTTAGCAATTCTATTATTGGTAGGCTATTCGATCTTTCCCTCTTAAATCTCTCCGCGCTGCACGGTCTTCCCGCCTTTTTCTTCTCACCTACCTTCCCTCCCTCTTCCTCTTCCCTTTTTCCATCCCCCTCTCCTACCCCTTTTTCTCCTTCTATTCTACCTACACTATCCTCTATGACTATCTCTTCTGTCGACTTTATCTCCTCTTCCATCTTTCAAAATTCCCGCTAGTTCCTACTTCCCTTTGCGCCGCTATTCTTCTCCCGACTGCCCGTCTATGTAGTTCCCGTACTCTATGCCCACCTGGTCTGCTTCCCTGCTCGCGCTACCTTCTATATCGCGCTACTCTTTGCCCCACCTGTCTCTCTGTCACCTATACACTGCACTGCTAAAAGCCGACCTACCTTCCTCCACCCTTTCTCCGTACCGCGCCCTCACTTACCCGTCTTCTCCCTGCCCTTTACCTTTCCCCTCCGCCTTCTCTTCACTTTCTCTCTCTACGGAACCCGCTCTACACTCACTTAAAACCAGATCAACGTTCACTCACATCTAACTCACTAGCCACCGGAAACGGAAGTCCAATTTACAAGTAAGTAATTTATATCTAAAAGCCCATATACACACACACACACACACGCGCGCGCGCGCGCGCGGAAGGGTGCGGGGGGCCTTCGGCCCCCCCCCC